TCTTTTTATCCTTTTTTAAAATATAAATTTTCTTCATTATTAATGTTTATAAAAACTCAAAACTATAAAAAATGTATCCATTTATAGAGAGTGATTGTATAAAAACTAATACTACTTGGATGAGACTAACTTTAAATTACTGATAAAATTTAAAAAATTTGTTGAACACAAATGTTTTGAGTGTTTAAAAACGTAAATAGTATTAATCATGTGAGTAAATTAAGAATTAAAACTATTAGCCATTCATTGCTGTAGTTATTTTATTAAAATATATATATCATTTATTTCATTGTTTGTAAACTTTGTTGTCAAAAGTTATTAGTATTACTAAAGCATTTCTTCTATATTTCAGATTCGCTGAATTTATTGACACTGGTCGTCACTACACAGATCAAGAATTGCTTCGATACAATTCTGAAGATCTTGAAGAACAGGATGATGAAAGTGATACAGAACCATTGGGAAATAGTTATTTGGGTGATCAGAGAAATGGTTATCAAAACTATAGATGATGTGTACTATGAATTAGCTATTATAATTTTCACATTCATTGTAAATATTCAGATTCATTTGAAGCATAATGTACTTTTGTAATTATTTAATTGTTCATGGACATTTGATATTTCATGCATATGAAAACGGTAAAAGATCAATTTTAGAATTAAATTGTTACTTTTTATGCAATGTTAATTATTTAATCACTTTCAATGTACAGCAGAATCAGGAATCATCAAGAAATTTAAAAGAGTATTCAAGTTTGTAGAAATTAGTAGATAACCTCAAAAAACGGGATTTTTTTTTAAAAAAAAAATAGCAATCTGTAGTTCTAAGTAATTCAAGTGCAATACTGTTTTGTTTCAAATGAACTTAATTTTTTACAGTTTAAAATCCAAAATTTCATAATTTAAAATATTAATTCTGCTTCTGTGATATAGTTGTCAATGCACATTGAAATTTGAGTGCCAAACATTTTTCAAAATTAGAATTTCCATCAATTGTGTATATAAGTTGAATGAACAATGTTATTAATTCTACTTTTTGTATATTTTTGTAACTATTTTTAATTAAGACTTTATGTATTAAGTGAACAACATCAGATCAAATGATATATTTACTAGAATTCTACTGAGCTTTTAAAATTATTTCTATTTTATGCTGAAAGATTTATATTGGTTGTGCAAGGAAAAAGTTTGACTTCATATGTTTAGTTTAAGCAAAGATTCAGAGATATAATTCAAAATAAACAAATGTTAACCCCCCTTTATAGTAATTCAATGAAATTATCTCCATAAATTGATAGATATTCTAATATTTTTTTATTGTATAAATTTTTTGGTTAAAAAATGTATTTCATTAGTATGTTTTAATTTCAGTTGATGTCTTTTAATAAACTTTTGTATTTATAATCACTTGTATTATGAATAGGAACTGTTCATTCCTTCTGAACAATGAAATTGTGTGTGTTTTGTATCAGTTTATTACTTCCACTACATGCAAGTTTCCTATATATATTCCTTCTACCTTTACTAATGTTATACTTGAATGACAGTCAATTTTGTAATTTTAAATCAAGGGTGATTGCTGAATAGCGCACATTATGCCATTTGCCAACTAAAAGATTATAAACAGATCAATAATTCTAAGCTATGACCATAATGAGAGTACCTATAAAATAATGAAAACTCTTATTCAATTGGTCACTTGCATCTGATAAGGTTTTTCTTTATTAACATTACATATATATTGGTAAAAAGCATAGTGTTTAGGTTTTGTAACTAATCTGCTGAGCATGATCTGTAAACAATTCAAATCAATTTTATGTTAGTCTTGCAGAAATGAATGTAAATTTTAGCCAATAAATTTAACTAAAAAAGAATACTATTTATTTTATTGAACAATTGAGAGTAAAAAAAGCAGCCACTGTGCAAATAATGTTTTGATATCTTACAAAAAATATACTTATTAGATAATGTTTCAACACATATCACAGTTTAATCCAGTTCCCACAGTTACAACATGTATAAATCCTATGATGATCAGTACTTTCCATAAAAACACATAAAAAAGCTATATTGCCAGCATTAAAATTTTTTTTACAGATTCTCTTCTATGGTATTGTTGCTAGGATTTTCTGAAGGAATTGCTCCTTCACAAGCTGAGTACTTTGTGCCTTCAAATGATCGAAGATGAATCTGTAAAACGAAGAACATTTAAATAAAAGTGTTAAAACTTAAATAAGAAATTGTTAAATTTAAAATATTTATTGAAAAAATTACCTGAATGTGTAAGTTTACTTCCTCACTGCAACTTAAGTAGGGAAAATTTCCACCTCTTTTAAGGTGAGCACGTTTGGCATCAGGATAAAATTTGTATAATTCTTCACGAGCAGCAGTGCTCAATGCACTGTCATCAAACACCTGTAAATATAGAAAAACAAAAATTAATGCACTGTATACATTGAATTATAAGAATTTAAGGATGTTTCATAATATAAAGGTTGTAAAATATAGATGTGTCTGGACATCATGCATTTCATTGATTTAGAGAATAAAAGCAACATTTACAAAGGAGATAAGTAAAGATCAGCCTTTTTTCGCCCATCGTCAAATTCATATTTTTTTTCCAACACTGATACTCAATCAAAATGAGAAAATGTTAGGTTTTTTTTAAAAAAATTCTTTTATCAAACAGGAAAAAAAATAACAAATGTCTTCGATTATATTTCCTTCTCGCTTTCACTGGCTAAAACATCACTGAACTATCAAGTAGAAGCATCTTGAAGTGTATCAGCATATCCAAGACTTGGTGTTTTTGCCTGAGTGTGATTATGGTGCCAGTATCCCAAGTACCAAAATGCAGCTGACAATACCGTTCAATGTTTCGATTATGACCTATATCTGTTCTTATCCATATGTTATATACTTTCGAACTTGTCTATCGTGATCTCAATTGGAGTCGAACAACTGAGGAATCTTCTCAATTTACGTAAAGAGAATACAGCCCCAATTGATTAAGGTGTTTGTGAGTGTATGATCGGCTTTGCTTAAGCTGATATATCACAAGAGTTAAATACTGTAGCTTCTTCCATGTTAATCATGGAAGATCAGAGTCACTTAACAAAGTCCATATCACCCTTTTTTTTTTGCCCAACCGATCAGTCTGACCAATTTGTGGACAGGCTATTTTGTTTCGTATCACATCAACGCGCTCGATATACCAAAACAAATTAATGTCAGTTTAAAAGCCTTATTATTGTAGTATTTGAGAGACCAAAAAATATAGTGGTGCTTAAAGCACTTAACAGTTTTTTTTAAAAGAAAAGTAGAATATGGAAGTTAGAAAAAGTCCTTAAAATAACAATGAATTTGCCAAGTTTGATGACTTTTTTTTTTATGTGACTTCCTATTTTTTCCCCTTTTTTAGAATAAAAGTAAAGATCAATACACCTTAAGTTCACATAAAAAAATAACATAGCTCCAATAAATACTTCGAATTTTCATGACTATGATGGGCGAAAAAGGCCAATCTTTACCCACCTTCTTCATTTAGGCTTTTTTTGTTAAAAAGTGCGAGTGAGTGAGAGAATATTAACATCGCACTGATTAGCAACACGTGGGCTTTTGGCGACGGTCCGCGTAATTTTGAACCATGGTCAAGTGATGCGGACGACACCTGAGCTGGCACCCCCTCTCCTAACTACCACACCAACGGGAGGATGTTTGAGCTCTCGACAGATTTAACGTGCATCGCTCCCCTACACGGCAGGTCTTTAGTGGTACTAGGATCGAACTCGTGTCATGCTAGCCATGATCCGATGCCTAGACCACTCGGCCGCTAAAAAGTACGAGAGCAGGAACTAAATGCAGAGTGCATTTTCAGACAGAAAAAAGTCAATTTTCATGAAAATTTAGAATGTTGTAATTCATATATTTGTTTATAATAGAGTTTTTTAAAATTTCAAAATATTCCATTGATAATTTAACCTTTTAACATGTAAAGGGATAGCTCATTTAGCATTACAGTATAGAAGAAAAAATGCTGTTCCCTATAGGATAGTGAAGCTAGAATACAATATTAATGTAGGAGTAATTTTATATCTGAAAATATTCCAAATTTGGGTCATACTCTTTAACATTAAGTGAAGAAAGCATTGAACTTTTTATACTATTTTAAAATAACCAATTATTTTATAAATAAACTAAAATTAAAACTAACTAACATCCATTATAGTGATAGGTAAACCTGTCAGCTTCTGAGGCTCCACGTAACAATTCATACAGGTCAAGGTGAGGCGTGAAGCAAGCTCTTGTTGAGATAAGCTATCCAGCTGTAAAATTTTGAACGAAAATTCTATATCAGCTTAAAGAAACATAAAAATATAAAGTTGGATATTTGCCAAATATCAGGTATGTCCAAAAGTTCTATCCATTTGTGGAGATGCAAATTCCTAACATTATTAGGACTGGTGTTATGGCCAGAATTGTAGGGCAGTAAAACATGTTAATACCCAGTATAAAATGCACAATGTTTGATGGTACAACATTCATAAAAAAAAACCAATTGAAGCAGTGTAACATGGTTAATAATTAAGAGCATGAGATATATTGTTTGATAAAAACAGCCACATTGTGCCTGATGTCATGCACATCAATGGTTTCAGAGAAGGAGATAAGCTGTTTAGATTAGATAAGATGCAAGCATCCTTTATTCTTCAGAGGACAATATAAAAAAAAATTAAGTCTATTCCTACTTAGGTCAACCAAGAAAAAATTTATTTTGGTTACTTTTTCTTAAATAGTTACAATTGATATAAATACGTATTTACATATGACAGAATCACAATATTAAGTGACAAAATAGAAAGCTATTTTCCTTGCAATTTTCCTTTCTATATATGTTATTGGACTATTTTTGTTTGTAACAATGTATTCATTAATTGAATTTAATTGTTCTAATAAAATAGTATAGTAAAAAAGAAAATGCATTCTCAGAAATTAAGCCATCTCTGGTACGGTTCTTAAACCCACAACCTTTGGATTAGAAGTCCAATGTGCTATCCATTGCACTACAGGGACACAACGAATGATTTTCCTTTCTATATATGGTGTTGAGCTTATTTTTGTTTGTTATTATTTATTCATTTTTTAATTTAACTAATGAATTAATATTTGAAAAAATAGTATTAACATCCAATTGTCATCCACTACATGCATTTGAACTTAAATGGAGGAATAGAGAGTATTTTATTAACAATTGAAAATTTGGGCAAGATATACAGATGAAGGACAAAATAATACGAACACCTGTGAAAAAAGTATGATGCATTTCACACCTGCAGTACAACCCCGCCACCTGCAACAGAAACCTGCCACCTTGTGAGCATGAAGAGGAAGGTATCAGTCTCTCAAGAGCATTGCATGCGTCTATCGAACTGTTTGTCATAAGTTGAAATGTCAGACCTGTCAGAGTTCCAAAAAGAAATGATTGTTGGAGCACATTTAAGTGGAGCATAGGTTCCGGAAGCAGCAAACCTTTTGGGGTTTACATGGCCTACGGTATCAGCTGTTATGAAAGAGGGTAAGACGACATCTTAACAGTAGCCGAAAGTCAAAGCTTGCCGATAGGGATAGACGGGTTTTGAAGTGCATAGTAGCCCGAAAGCACAAGCAATCGTTATCTGAGATAACATTCAAAATGAACAGTCATCTCCAGGACCCTGTTTCAACAAAAACTGTCAAAAGGAACTTCATGTTGGGAACATTTACGGCAGAGTGGAAATTCGTAAACCCTTGATGACAGTAACTAATGCTTTCAAGCGACGCCAATGGTGCAGAGATCGCAAGGGCTGGTCCTCACAGTAGTGGCAACAGGTAATATAATCAGATGAATAGTTGTTCACCCTATTTCAGATGACCGGACGCATTTATGTCATTTAATCCTGAATACCTCTTGCCGAGTGTGAAGCAAGGGGTAGGCTCCATTATGGTATGGATGCGATATCTTGGCATGGTCTTGGACCACTTGTTATTCTGCATGGGAAAATCCAATCCAATCACTATCTAAGCATTCTAGGGGTTCATGTCCATTCTTTTATCCAGACAGTATTCCTTGAAGAGTGACCACTTTTTCAAGTCGACAACTTCCCTATCTAAATTTCCAGGTGCGTTCAAGCGTGTTTAGAAGAGCATGAAGATGAAGTTGAACATCTTGCCTGGTCCCCTCAGTCTCCGGATTTGAATATTGTTGAACATTTATGGAAGTTTTTTGGAAACCAAATTTCGTTCCCGATTTCCACCTCAATCCAGCCTTTTGGAATTAGAGACTGGTGGGCAGGAGAAATGGCTTAATATTCCTTTAAATATCGTCCATGACCTTTATACATCTATCCCACGTTGCATTAAATCTGCACTTCAGTCAAAGGGTGGTCCAGCCCCCCGATTAATAAAGATTTTCTATTATTTCACAGGTGTTCGTATTATTTTGTCCTTTACCTGTATATAGAAAGAGAGAGTGAACTAATAATAGGAATTGAAAAAGTGGACATTATCCAATTGTGTCAGAAATTGCTGAAAAGCTTTCAATGTTTACAAGACAATAGTTGATGTTGGTTTCCATATCAACTTGCAGCCGATCTCCAAGACCAATGTTTTCTGAAATGGAAAACAGCCATTCTTGCAATGGATAGTGACAAGATGAGTATAATATAAAATGCTGCCCTTCTGAATTACTTACACTGACATAAATATCAGAAGTTTATCAAAAGTTTTTGTTGAGTGTTTGATATGTACAGGGAATTAATCTTTGAGAGGACCTGCCACCAAACTAAACCATTAATACTTTCTTTTGCTTCAGTTAGAGCTATCTGCATTGATCAAGAAGTTGTCAATTGGTTGGTTGCTATTAATGACATTCCTTTAGTTGTGAGTAAAATATAATGGTGTTTGACCAATCTCTATTCTCTTAGCTTGGCACCTCCTGAACATCAGCAATGATCAACCTCTGACCAAAGAAAAATTTCCCAATCTTGATGTGAAAAAAATGTCATTCAAAACTTTTTCACTCCAAATTCCAAACATTTACTGACTTTGGATTCCTATCCTAGTAGAAAGATCACAAAAGGCAATACATAGTAATAATGAATATGCAGGACTGGATTTAGGTGATGCCAAAATAGAATAGTCTAAGCAGAATTTTTATTTGCAGTAGCATTGATGCAAGTTAATTAAACCGCAATATGAGTTAGGTTAAATACTTTGATTTTTTTTTTGTCATTTGAAAATTCAAAGTAAAGAGCAAAATTAATAAAAAAGTGTTTGATGTCATCTAGGCTAAGAATTACTTAAACAACTGTGCACTACCTGCGATAGGCAAATTTCAATGGATGGGGTTAGCAGCGAAGTAAACAAGGCCAATTTCCATCTTGCTAAAAATATATAAATCTGACCCTGAAAATATGTACAATTGGGCTATATACACTGTATTTCTTTCACTACCACAAGAAATGAATAGAACTTTTTGATTCACATTATCCAAAAAGACAGTAGAACAAAAGTTTCTTATAAAAAAAACAGCTTATTTAAAGAAAAAATGTATTAGAAGTATGAGCAGTACCTTTTCTACCATAAAATCAATAGAATCTGCTATGGAGGCTTCAACATATCCTTTGTTGAAATTACCCATAATCATTCTTTTTAAAACAACTGAAGGAAACATCCAAAATCTGTAGAAGTGAAAAAATGTTTTTAGTATAATAAAATACAATATTTTCATATCAAACAAATAAATTAATAATAACCTACAATACTGCTGTGTTTGAGAAATTGAAAATCGAAGTGTCAGTGAAACTATTGCAAAGTATAATTGATAGCACAGTACATGTGTGAGTGGTGGCTTCGGCAAATTTTTGAGCAAGAAATCCTCCAAGTGATGCACCAAATAAATGAACCTGTAATAAATTCAAACATAAAGCACTTTTTAAAATTGGTGCAAAAAATTAATACTATGATCAATTAATTGTTTATATTAACATTGCATTTCAAAGCTATACTAGGGTTAACTGCACCAGGACTTGACATAAATGACTGACTATTTGGCTACTGTGGTCAGAGTAAAACGATAAAATACAAAAGTTTTGAATTTTAAACAAATATAGGAATCTTTATCAGTCAGAATGGGATCAAGTCCTAGCATTAGTGATGGATGTCAGGAATTATGGTCAATGTATTACACAAAAAACATTACTTCACAAGAAAAATAATTGACGAAATATATCACTATATTTTTTCAAATAATGAATGACTAGCTATCTTCAGCATTTGAGTTTTATTCCATGACTATCATTTTTTCTTCATCCATTATATCACTATAATCATTTCCATCAACAGAACTTTAGGTTCAAGCCTTGTCCATCCAAAGATTATTATGTGTTGTTGTTGCTTATGCCACCTGATCAACAACATCATCAGATCAAGGTCCACGAAATTCATCGCGGTGAAGGGCTAGAATTTTACGCCTGTCATTTTAGCCTAAGCTTTGAGCCCCCGCAAGAGGGTGACAGTGCAATTTTGCTCACGCAACATGATAGATGGCGACACCATTCGGACCCACTGATTTCACGAGCACGTTCTCCAATTTGTACTCGGCGGGCAACAGGCATCGAGCGCAGGCCTTCTGGTCTGGGGTCAGATGCTCTAACCACTAGGCTACCCACGGCCCCAGATTATTATGTAACAAGGGTTATTGCCCGTTAAACCCAATATAGTGTGGTGAGAGGACCGAGAACTTGGAAGTTAATCTTAAAACTAGATTATAGGGTTCAAAATTAAGGGGAAGCCCGTCAGTTTAACATCTTACATGACACCTAGATGGCGTTGACTTTTGCGAAATTTTTGGCACAAATATTTTTCTGAAGATTCCCAAGATGGGCAATAAATTTCTCTCTCGGGTACTCCTCTCAACAAAATTCTCCCCTCAGCGAAAGCCGACGCTCGCTAAGAAATGGGGGTAGGAGGGGGGGGGGTCACAATCGTAAAATTTTGGTTGTTCTTTTTCAGGGGAGGGAGGGGGTAAAACAGCAGGGAATCTTGTCCATGGAAGAGTTATTTCTGGACAAAGATCAGTGGTCAAACTTTTCGACTCATGAAACCCTTAAAACTGTAAGATGTTTTCCACGGTGTTGGATAAAACGACATGGAGATCCCTAGGCAGTCCAGTTCTCGGGGCCCTGTAGCCTAATAATCTTATTACACAACATTTTAGCAATATATTTCATTGCACAAATAAAATAACAGATAATCTGCGAATTAAAAAATATGTAACTAAACACTAATTATTTATTAGAATCTGTAATAAAAACTAATTCTTGCAGCAAAAAATAGCTAAATATTTGGTTTTTTATTTATTTTTGGGGCCTCTAAAAAGAGTAGGGCCCATAGGCAATCACCTACTCCACCTAATGAGTAATTCGGCACTGGTTTTTGGGGAATCCCATTCCACACTTAAAAGGATATATCTTAAAATAATATTTAAAGTATATAGATAAACATATATTTTTGATGTTATATGAAGAGAAAATTTAAAAAATTTTATTTCTTATTAGAAAATTTTATGATGTAATGTTAATGTTATTTATTCATTGATAATATTAATTTGTGACCCAAATGTCACCTGCGCATGCATCATATTTAGTAACTGAGATATGTGTTCACATTTTTTACACAAACTGTCGTCCCTTGGAAATTATGTGCAGTAGCATTTCATATTCCGCGTTTAATTCGTTTTTATATTTTGTTTTTGTAGACACTCGCGTTGAGAAATATTTTTCACTTACTAAATACATTTTTGTGAATGGCATTAAAATGTTCACAGCTATGTGAGAAATTCTGCGTATTTTGCAAGAATTGGCAACCTAAAATTTTGGTGTTCTAGCTTAAATTTAAATTTTAGCATTGAATCTCTTGATATGTCGATAAATTGTTCCATCTTCTTCATTATAGGTGTTTTTTCCCCCCACAAATGTAAAAGGTTTTAGAATATTACACTAACTAGTACAAAATTACTTTGTGGAACTCGGGAT